TTTGTAAACCCAATACATATCAACACAACTTATAACTATTATTTTTTTCGTCCATGTTAACTACCTCCCCAAGTATGGCTTAGCACACCTTAAATTGAACAAAAAACCTCTAAAACCTATCCTTTTTTTTCAGCAATATTTCTTTTCTGTACCGGTAATGTTCAGAAAAAGAACTGAAAAAAACGTCAGGTGCGTGCAGGATGCGGGCATGTGTCTGCAACTCCCGAAGGCCAGCTGAGGTGGTATTATTAGTGGTAACTTCTTGCACAATGCTAAATGAGAAATTGCTGGTGGAATGATCTCACTTTCCCATCCTTCAATTGTATGGAAATTCAAAACATGGCCAGGATATCAAATAGAGAATACGAACTTCGGGTAGGGAAAGAAAAATATAAAACCAATTAAAATTAATGGCACCTTTACCATCATTCAAATACCACATCCTGCCCTCCCGCATCCGCATGAAACCCTCATAATATTATTTATTATTTAAAAAAACATTCTAATTCTTAAATATTTACTTTTTTAAAACATCAGCGTTCATTCAACAAATAATTAAATATACTAACAAAATGTGGGTTAACGAAGGATAAGTTCTTACAGTTCCTTAATGGTGGAGAGTTCATTTCATATTTTTATGGAAATAAATTTTATATTATTTTCAGTATTATTACTAATTGTTATTAGGCCAATTTACAAAATTCAGCATTTTTTAAAAGTAGGATTCCACTTGTTATAACCTTTAAATATTATACATATTATTATAAATAAAAAAATGTATTTTTTCCAGTATCAATTTATTAAAATACAATCCATGTCACAGATGAAAAAGATTGGATAAACACTTAATTATAATTACAAAAAAAAAGGAAGCATAAACTTATTCAAAAACTTAAATCGAAAAGGCATTTTCCATATTATTTTCAATTAGTTCTGTGGCATCTTTGCATATTGTGTTAAGTGCGAACATCATATTTATGAAAAAAGACAATAGAAATTTTGAAATTTTCAGAGGTGCAAGTTCAATTTTCGTATTTATGCCTTTGATTCACAAAGGAATATTCGTCTCTATTTTTTAACTTAGCCCATGAGTCACAAAGAAAAAGAGAATAATTAACTTTACACTGATACTCGATAAGAGTTGTTTATCATGAAGAACGCAAAACGTTTCAAGGAAAATGTTTAGAAGCTAAACCTGTAATATGTGTACATTTCCGTTATGTTTGCCTTGGAATGTAAATGAACATACTTTTTATATGTTTTTAGGTGAATCCTAACAGGTTTTATTAAAATACACTGATTTTTTCTCAATAGTCTGATATGCTAAAATCATTTCTCGAGATCAGATTTAAATGAAAATGAAAAAAAAACCTGAAATATGAAATATCCTAATATTTCATATTTCATTATATTATATACAATTATATTCTGGACTGTGTCGCAGAATAAAGTTATTTTTCTATCTATCATTCATGCTTGTATAGTACGTGGTACAGATCCCTTTGTATCGAATTATTACCCTCCGTTTGAAATTTCGTAAATAGTTTCATCTCATCGTAACCTACAACTATTTTATTTGACGAAAACTCTTAGAATTGGGGCGTTTTCAATCAAGAGGTCGGCAAACTTTGTCTATGTAATTCGGTACTAAAAAATTCTTAAAACACATTTGTTTTTTACTGGGAACGTAAGATAATTTGATCACAAAAAGAGGGGCCTTCAAAAATATTGAGCCGTTTGGCGTGAACCACACCCCCAAATTTTCAAAATAACGAGGTTATGTAGGACATAACTTCCTTTTACTTAAAATAAGAAAAAAACAATTATAAAAGTTTATAGAACATAAATATGCAAAATCTATTAATTAATCTTTCTTTAAGTTAGGAATTAGATTAAATTTTAATATTACATTAAATATAGCATATTATGTATGCTTTATGCTACTCGAGTTTTCGTTCATATTCAGTTGTTTTCTAGTCGGTTCATAGTTACTTTAATGTTAGCTTGAGCGTTATCGTGACAAGCCACTTACATGGAACAGTCAAGCGATAAGAAATTTCTTGTCGAAGCAGATTAAAAGTAAACACTAATCCTAATACCGTCTCAAAACTTAAAATATAAATTTATATCTTCTCAGTTTTGCTTCATATAAAATTAACAATTATTTACATGATTGATGCAAAAAATCTAAACAATATTCATAAAATCAGTAAGGGTTCACTTCAGAAATAACCGACTCATATACATTACATTTATTTTTAATTCTTTTTTTTTTTCTTTAAGATTTTAGACAAAATTCTATTCTGCCAGGAATTTATTTTTTTTTTTTTCAAGTATTAAAGCCGTAATTTAATTTTTCTAATCAACTGTCTAAGTTGATTGTGTCTTTCACGATATTACTTTTTTTTATTTTAGAAATATTGAGTGGCAACCCCTCGATATATTTTCTCCTCTCTTAAAACGCTTACACGATATTGCTGTAATAGTGTGTCTCGACTTCGTCACATATTTTTTTCGTGTTTAAGAATTTATTTTTATTTCCATGGTTGGTTCTCAACCTAATTAAATTTGTCATCTCACTTCTTTCCAAACATAGTCCAATAGAGGCGAATTAAGGTCTTAAAGAGGTTTCGGAGAGTATTAAATATGGTCTCTTCTTTGCTTGGAGACTTCCAGTCATGTAAATTACAAAGTGCAATTGTTTTACTTAATGAACATAAAATATCTGTTTTGGGGACTTTAGAATTAATAAGAATTAATTACAAAGCATTGGTAGTATCCTTATTGCATCTCGAGCAATATGATCTGCACTTTCATTTTCGTGTAGACCCATATGCCCCTGGTACCACTACAATAAATTAGTTAATAAATAAATAATGGAATTAATCTATATTCTACAGAATGTAATTGGCGATTAAGGTTATTCTCTTGCTTGTTTTATGATAAGGATAACTTTTCAATATTCAATGAATAAAGAGTTATTTAAATATTTTTAATTTCACTCAATCCTGCACAGAACTCATTCATTTTTCTGCTTAACGAAATAAGGGATCGCAAACAACATATAAAAACATCCATAAATCACACGGTGCTTGGAAGAAGGTAGCAACAGCCTTGGAGGAATTTCGGTAAGCAATAAACCGCATCGGCTTTCTTATACCGTTAGGCCATTCTCCAACCAGCGGTACTCTGGCTTTAATTGGATAAGCGTCGAGGGCACTCTACATCGGCCAATATAAAGAAGGAAGGAACTTACCTCGGAGGATCCGTCGAAGAACAGGATACAGTGGCCTGAAGGACCTTTGGCAACTTGCTGGCGCCCTTGACCCAAATCGGTTCGATATCTGTCTGACCCCGGCCCGGAGGTGACTCCTGGCGCAGACAATGGATTTTGTAGCGCCCAAAAAATAAATGTGAGTATTCTCCTTTCTGCAAAATGTTTAACCTCCCAAAACACAATTAATTTTTTAATTATTTAGAAAGCGAAAATGCAGATTTTCGTACCAAAAAGAAACAAAGAATCTACCATTAGAGTTCTAATAAAAAAATATCGAAAATAAACTATCTAGGAATTAGGTTTGAGAGATGTTTAAGTTTTTCAGAACACATTTATAAACAAACTAAAATAAAAACAACAGATAGAAAACATATTCAAAAAGATAACACGCCCGACTCTATGTTAGGGAACACCATTATTTTCTATTATTGCCAAGTTGACAGACAAAAAAAAGGCTAAAATCGTTTCAAAATATATTATTACAAAAATTAGTAAAAAGTCATAACTCCTCGAGGTATTGAAAATGCCTTAAGTTAAGGATTAAGGTACCGACTACTGAGGTTTTATTAAATTATTAATATCCACCTAAAACCTGGAGAATAGCTCCATCTCATAGTAACCTACTATTTTTTTATTTATTATTAAAATTCTCGGAAGAGGAGCGTTTTCAATTTGGAGATCGGCAAACTTTGTCTATTCTATTTAAACTCATGAACACCCACATTTTCTTTCCACTTGAATCGTAAGATTTTATTAGAAAATCGAGAAGAAAAGTGGCCTACAAAAATATTGAGCCGTTTGGCTTAATCTCCACCAGCATGTCATAATAAGGAGGAAATATGGATATATATAGGTCAATATGTTTGTAGTCTACCTTTTTCCTCGATTTTGTGATCATATTATCATACTATTCAAATGGAAAGCAAATGGCTATTTATGATTATTTAGTTCCTCCTCGCAATAATTCATTTAATGAGGGTACGTCCTTTTTCTGAAAATATTTGTAGATAAAAAAGCTGTATACAAAAACTTAATGACATTTTGGACGGATGATAATAATTAGACAAAAAGGGGTCTGTACCACGGACTAAACCATTTAAGCCAGTAGTTTGCTCACAGATAACTTATTCTAGATAGTGCTATATATTATATTCATATTAATTTGGCTAATTTTAAATTTTATTTATTTAATTTCTTAAAAAAAAATCCGTTAAATGAAAAATAAATAATTGTTGGGCATAGATTAGAGTTACAGTTTGTCTATTTAATTAATTGGCAGTTAAATCAGTTACACATGATTATAATATGTCGTTTGTTTGAGTTTCTAAGAGTTAAAGTAATTTTTTAGATCGACTATTTAGAAAAATAGATAAATTTTAATAAAAGTTTTTTTTTTTAAAAGTTCTGGAAAATCTTTACTTGTAAAGTCACAAGGGAAAAAGTTCTAATTCCAAAGGAACTGATAAAATATCAGCAAAAAAAATTTCAGTACAAAAACTTTTCAAAAAATTTTTTTTTTTCGTTTCAAACTCTGTTAAAAATAATGAAACAATACTTTTTAAATTAGATTTGATTTTTTTTTTTGTAGTGTCAAAATAAACCGGTCGGAGGTTCTGATTACTGAAGGAGACCTACATCAAGATATCTTTTTTAAGGGGCCTCCAAACCTATCTTCTCCAGGCTTAGGCTTAGGTATCCCGCTGCAGATATACAATCGGACGCGTTATTTCCAGCTCGTTGAGGCATCGACCGCGGAGTCTGAACAAACTCGCGTGTTAAGGACTGAAACACTTGAGATGAGTAACTGGTACTGAAGAGGAGGACTGTTGAGAGTAAATTGGTCTCTGTTGACTAACACACGCCTAAGGCCATGTGCGCGGCCATCTATAGCGCGAGCAAAGCCAGGCCGCTCTGAAGGCATCCAGGAATAAACAATATTCCAGACCTAGCCAACAAAAATAATTCTTCGATACACAGCTCTAAAGAGGGCAACACATCTCATACCTGCACGGTCGGAGCGCCGCTATTTTAACTTTGTACACACGCATGAATCTAAAAATGTATCGGTCAAAATATTTCTTAGATTTAATTTTTAGCCATCTAACCACCCCTAAACTAATAAAAATAAATTAAACTAATTGGCCCGTGCGAAAAATTCGAAGACAATTTTGTTTAGTGAAGAAATTATTATTATTATTATTTATTAACAAAAATGTCGAACTTTAGATTAAATTTGCAATCTGCAAATTTCTTTGCAATGAGCAAATTTTTTGGCAGCTTCGCAGCTTCCCATCACGTCCGGAATATAAATCAGATCAGCAGGTCTCTTGGCCAACGCCTACGTAATCGTCGTAGTGGGCTGTACGGGTTTCTTGTACGATGAAGAATTTCTGTCAGGGGATTCATGTTGTATGTCAGTCTTTGGTGAAAGTTATTGTAGTTCTCTTTTGCAGTATCTAAAATTGTAGGTACGTTTAAGTCTTTATGTAGTGTATCATTTGCGACATAAAAAGGTGCGTCAACTATCCTTCGCAACACTTTTGACTGAAAGGACTGAACTTTTTTAATGTTGGAAGTTTTAGCAGAACCCCACAGTTCTATGCCGTAAGTCCAAATTGGTTTAAGTAAAAGCTTTATAAAGGGTTAGTTTGTTAGTTAAAGATAATTTTGAACGTCTGTCAAGTAATCTGGATAAAAGACCGTATCGTCTGTTTAATTCTAATCGTTTTTGTCTGATGTGAGTCCTCCAAGTAAGTCTTTTGTCCAGGTAAAAACCTAAATACCTAATTACGCCAGATGTTGGGATTTTAATGTTATTAAAATATATTTCAGGTGGTTAAAATTTTACTTCCTCCGACCTGCTATCTAATATTACTTTCATATCTAACTGATAGACATTTTGTAGTAAAAGTAGGGACAGAAAGTTCTGACATTAAGCCTATTAAAGCAGGAGTACCTCAGGGTAGTGTCCTTGAACCAATATTGTTTAATATATATATGTCTGACATACCGGAACACAATGACACAATACTAGCTACTTTTGCAGACGATACCGCAATCCTAAGCTCAGATAAAAACCCCGTTCGAGCATCTACCACTATTCAAAATCATCTGAACGATATTGCAGATTGGGCCACAAGGTGGAAAATTAAGATGAACGAAAAAAAAAGTGTGCATGTGTAGTATTCACTCTTAACCATAAACCTTCACCTGAAATATATTTAAGTGAAGAAATAGTAAGACAATATGGAAATAAGTAGTTCCTATGTATTATGTAAGGAAAGAATCAATATTTTTTCCTTAGCCGATTACAATATACCATTAAACATAATACACCAAAATATTTATACAAATTGCTTTGCTAGGACCTATTTTTAAACACTGACTGGAAAGATAATAAAAGTAATAAAGAAAAAATAATGTTCCTATCATAGGATATTCTAAATTATCAAAAAAAAAAAAAAAAAAAAATGAAAGAACAACCAAATGTCTTTAAGAAATAATAAAGTTAATATAAAAGCCAGGAAAAAAAAATGAAGTAGGCTAATCTACTCCTAAATGCAATATCTTTACACAGCAAGACATTATTAAGTATACTAAATCTAATGGACTGTACCTTTGTAATTTAGTAATTTTTCTAATTATGATGGGTACAATCAAGAAAAAAAATGTATACTTTTTGAGTTATTCGCAAATAGTTTCTTTTCCTCTATAACTTTTTTCCAGAAATTTTGGGGGATATGACTATTTTTCGCATGTGAAGGAGAAGAATATCTTCAAAATGAATGGTCGATCATTGCATTTGATGAAGAATTGGCAAAGTTATGGTGTACCGACAAAAAAACACCTTTTAGAAATAATATATAGGATGTGCTGAACATTGAACCATAGAGACCAATGTATGCTGGGAATATATTTTTTTTCTCTAGGCTGAACAGACCTTGTAGATATGTTGCCACCTTTATTAGCCTTCTGCAACTCAGCCTACTTTGTGATATTGCTTCTCAGTTATCTCATCTACTGCATCCTTTGATGATTCAATCCATCCATCCATTACTATTTTTTTTTTTGTCTCACCTTTTGGGATATACGTTTTATTTTCTTCCCAGAGCAGAAGAAAGGGCGGGGGATCAATGTTAGATTTAATTTTACTTTTTCCCTCCCTTCCTTGCCTTTTAGGCTACGCGGGTTTTTTCCCGGTACCGAGAATTATGCCGCGTTAAAAGTCCCATCAGGATTTGAAATCGTAATTATTTCTCTATCTTAAACTTCTGCTATCAAGTTGCGTTAGCCCGCTCAGCGATACTACCCCTACGACCTGACCTATCCATCTGGTTTTTGGCCAGATTTTCATGTGGTCTCTAGCGAACTGATGCATTCATTGATTCCTTGTTCTGCAGAGCCTCATTAATATTTTCAAGCACGCAACAAGCTATTCATCACAAATAACCCGCAAGCAGTACCTTCACTTACGAGGTAACAAAAAACTAGATCTCTTTCACTAACCAAAGAAGAAATCTGACTGAGACCGCATCCTTACAACAGGAAGTTGTTTGTTAGCAGTCTGAGGAGAACCTTCCAAAATGGTACAAGTTCGACTTAGCATACAATGGTGAAATGTTTGGAAAAGTGGCAAGTGACTTGGTGAAGCATCGGTTCTTGGTGAAAGCTCGGAATGTTATTTGCATAAACAATCGCGGATTAAGCAGGCGACCTATAATCATCTGTAATTTGGGGAACGATGTCTAGTGATAATGAAACTGATCACCATGAAACCAAAGGCTATTTTCCCAGCAATAAAATTAAAGTTACAAAGCCGTGAGAAATCATTGCGCTCTCTGATATTTGTAAGAAAATCTTTCAACTACACAATGTAATAAATTAATAATTAATTTATTGTAAGGAAAAAATCTTAACGACAAGGAATTTGATAAGAGAATAAAATATCTTAATCTTATTTTGTTAAACCAAACGTTCAAGAAATAATAAAAGTATCAATAGAGAATAAAGTTCAATAGTGTGAAAGAAAAACTCGACCGTTTTAAATTGAAATATTTAATTCAATTAATGTACATTATGATAATTAAATAATACATACTTTGTTAGGTTAGTTATACTATCCATCCAGTAGGGTATGCTACTAGCTAAAAACTGATTTCTGTGCCATTAATCATAAATAATAGATGATTGGTGAAAAACAAATTATATCCTCAATGAAATTAATCACTATTGAACTGGATCATTTATTTATAGTACTTGACTAAAGAAAATAATACAACAATTATTTACTTATTTATTTTTAATATCAATTATTTTTAGTAGTTTTTTTTTTTTTTTAACTTGATTCTTATAATCCAGGCGAACTATTATAGGACTGCATGGATATCCTTGTATATCCTTAAGTGGAAGCTGTGACACGAAGGAATAAAAGAAAGAAAACACATAACTAAGAATCCATTGTTTTCTTACATATAGTGATGTAATTTAATAATTAAACTTTTAGACTACAATATATATAAACCAAATGACATTTTCCTGATGTTATCTGAAATCCGGTTGATTTGAACTGTGTATTTGTCAAATTGACAAATTTTATCTTAAGTAACTAAGTACACTGTTATGATTGCACTGTTTAGGCTTACGATTTAATGAAAATAAATAAATGTTTCATCATTAATAATATGAATAAAAATTCATATTTAATGTTGTAGTAATAATTAATGATTTGATTTGATCACTGGAGAAAAATGGAGTAAATAAAACATCTTACCACCGTTTTTTTCAACCTTGTGATTTTGTACCATATTCTAAATTATCGTTGAAGCTAAAAATTTCGTTATATGGAACAATATGCATTAATCAAGACGCGTTTTTTATTTATCTTTTGATAATATTATATAGTTTACTTATATTTTTTATTCTTGAATATAATATAAGAATATAAGCAATGTTTAACATCGATCCGAGTAAATCATATTTTTAATTGATAATGTCTGTTAAGCATCAAATAGATATGCATTAAATTAAATCTACATTAATCTTTAAAGACTTTGATAATTTCCAACATAAAATTTTTAATCAGATAACCAAATACTATTTTATTGTAATATATTTTCGTTATTAATTTTTACTCTTCAAAATAATATTGTCTAAAAAAAGCAATAAAAAGTGGTATTACAGTTATAATTGTGGGTTGATGGTTGACTGTAGTATACTTTTAAGTTGTTTTTTTTTACCTACATTGTTCATGTGTCTCATACCAATTGTTATCTGGTTCTTTTTTCAGCCCTCATGAAGGCCTGAACTGAGCGTCGATACGTCGGAAAAAGTTAAAATAAATATTATTATTTATTTTTTTTTTTTTGACTGGTCATAACTATCCTTCTCTTCGGTATTACAGTTAGTTGAGTGATGATGAAATTCATTGGTGGATTAATTTTTATAAAGTTTAAAACTAATAAAATTTGGAAAAAGAATAAATTAGTTCTCACTCGCAAGGAAAACCTGCTGATTAATTTATGATAATAGCACACCATTACAGGATAAACCATCTTGATAAGCTTCACAGTTAGCAGCTAAACTGCGATCATTAGGCGTAAGCACCCACGTAACAGTAAGTAACATCAGTGATGGAATCATTGTTGATGTCAATTAACCAACTTGAAGATACGGATGACTCCTCCAACACAGAAATTACCAATGCCGCCAAATTATTTCCTTCATTAAACAGTTGCGTAAGATCAACGAAGATGGGGAGAAATCAGCAAGGCCCGACCGGTGCAACCTCTTTGCTTAATTTCACCAGGGTCGAAGACTCAGTTACGGCATTAAAGTCTCCACTTACAGATTTATACTCCGCCACCTTTCTCTGCCTTAATTTAGATTTATTACTGTAAAGAAACTCATTAAGAGAATGTACACCGTATATATATCCAATATATAACCATCAAAAGTTTAATGGTTAGGATTACTTGGCTGATGTAACTTCCACATTAATTCCATTTTAGGAATGTAACTAGTTAATGTAATATGAGGTTTGTATTTCTTACTTACATAACATTCAAAGCTTATGTGAAATTATAAGTGACAAAAGTTTTATTGGCTAATGCAGATAAATGAATACAAACAACTTATAAAATATAGCCACTACGAAAAAAAAATTGAGAAGCTGGTCGAGGGTGGGTTCAACAAACACATACTATTTATTACTGTACCGTTTATTTTAATTGTAAACATTTCGACCGACGTTTTAGGTCTCTTTTGGGTTATTTCATTAAGCACTGCCTGAAGAAGTTAAGATACAAATAAAAATGGAATAGTGATCGATTTAAAGGATTTTTTTTTATAGAGATAAAATTGTTAATATATTATATGTACATTATAGTTGATATACTATATGTATGTGGCTAGCTCAATCTCCACTGGATTTAGCACTAGTGACGCGGTCGAGGCAGTATCGCAGAAGATCTTCTGGAGTCTTGCTAAAGTCTGTCTTGAAGTTTTCTCGGATAGTTGTAAATAGATTTTTTAATTTACTTATATTTAAGTCATTTTAATTATTTTATGTATTGTTTTATTATTATTTAGTTGTTATTTTACATCTTTTCATTTTATATTTTCTGAATATAAGTGTGAATGTAGTCTGTCCGTTGTGGTAGAATGTTATATTAATCAATGAATAAGTAAATAAAATAATAAAAACATACTATATGTAAATATCTGGGTTTTATTATACATACTAATAATTATATTTTAAAATGACAATGCAGTTTGTTTGCCCGAATGGTAAATATCCCATCAGTAAAACAACAAGACTTAGCTTCTCTTTTTTTTGTCCCAGTTAAAAGCTCTCCCCAGAACCAGGACACGATCTCGTAATTATTTTATCGGTAATCTTAGGTTTATCAGGTTGCCGTGCAACGCGTGTCTTGCACAAGCGTTAGCCCGCTCAGTCATCCCACCCTCTCAACAAAACTCAGTTATCCCTACATTTTTTAACTCATACTCGAGGAGAAGAAAATTGAATTTGTGCACAAGAGAAAGGATCATTTGTTTGTTTTTCTCTTATTAAATACGAGTGGAAAATAAATATGTAAAGCTCTGATCAGGATATCAATCTCTTCACTTTTCATTTACTTTACTTATATCATTATAACCCACAAAGGGTCTGAGATACAGTACTTCGCAAGCAAGTACTTGGTCAATGGTTGTACAGATGATTTGATCAAGATCACCCCCTAATCATTTTAAACCTCATCACTGCTATTACATCATTAACAGCAAAGAAAATTAAAATGTGCCTTAAAATCGTGTTTAATTTAATTAAAGTTATCAAAAAAAAATCTTTCTATATTACCCGAGGCGTCCAATTGATTTCAAATCAATACTCCTTTTTTTACTTTTTCAGAACATTTTTAGCTTACCATCGACAATAACGAATAGCAATATTTTATTTTTTAAAAACCTATAAAATCCTCGATTCTCAAAATCAATCGCTCCTGAGGGAGAATACAAATGTAGCTTTTGAGGAAGGAACTATCAGTGGGACCACGGAATAGGGAACAAAAATAACCTTGTTTATGGTGGAATTTGTAGTCAATCAATTATTTAACTATTCCATATCGAGATATGTGTTCTAGAACTGATTAAAATCGATTGTTGTTTACATAGACAAAACAATTAACTAGCTAATTAATTAACCGTATAACAAAATAATTAACCGTAGTAATGAGTCTCCGATACGTCATGAAGAAGCCAGTTGGAAATGTGGTTGTTGTATCGGATTCCCTAAGTACTCTGAAAGCTATGAATAACATGTATCCAGACCATCCAGGGATACACTGCATTCTAAGTCTTATAAAAATGCTTCATGGAGTTGGAACAACGGCACATTTTATCTGGTCGCCTGGCCATATAGGAATTAAAGGAAATGAAATGGCTGATAGAGCAGCAAAGGAAGCTCTTACTCTTCCAGGCCGCGGTAAAGTTTTTTTGACACCATCTGAACTTGCACGACCTCTGAGAGAAACCATATTCCAAGAATGGCAAAGACGATGGGACAACAGCGCACCTAGCAAATTAAAAACAATAAAGAAAGAGGTGCAACCGTGGACCAGCTCCAGACGCAGCAGTCGTAGAGAAGAGGTCGTCCTCACGCGGCTGAGGATCGGACATACTAGACTGACTCACCTCCACCTCATAACAAAAGATTCTATCCCCCGATGTCAAAAGTGTAACCAATCACTAACTATAAAACATATTTTGGAAGAATGCCCTTTTTACACCGCAAGATTAAAAGATTTTGGAATACCCCAGAATATATCAGCATCGCTGGGAAATCAAGAAGAAATAGTTACCAAAGTAATCAAGTTTCTGGATAGTGAAAGACTTAAAAAACACATTTGACAGGCTTTTTTTATTTTTTTTATTTACTAATTTTCTTTTTATCTATTTATTTTTATTATATTTTCTTTTACTATTATTTTCATCCAAGTAGTATTAAATGACGTTATTTAGTTGATCGGGCGCTTATGATCTGGATGTTTTGCGCCTAGACATCGAAACAAACAAACAAACAATTAACTAGCTTCATTGATGCATTTGCAACAATCGATCAATTACAAGGTGATTGAATTTTTTAGGTGTCTCTGCCTAATGAATGCTAATTTATTCATAGGCTTTGGTAATTTAAACTAGCTTATAGACCCAATATCACTAAATTATAATGTAGTGGATCTTATGGATCTTAGATTATCCACTTCATATGAACTACAATCTGAAATATGACAAAATTTAAAACCAAAAGACATGAGTTAAAAAATAAAAGATATCGTGTTTCTGGAGAAAAAATAAATGATCTTAAAGTTACAAGATTGTGATAACTTTGCCGAGCAAATCTCAGCTCTTTTTTAAAAGTTACCTGGAGTTTTCTCAACAATCTCCGGAGGACTCGACGTGCAGAGTTAATGGGTAAGAAAAAAAAAAAAAAGAGATAACACAAAGGAAACATTATACATAGCGTGAGAAATGGCCTGGGAAGGGATTCCATTCAAAATGAGTGGGGCTAATTACCGAGCTTCATGTTGTTCTGTTGGAAAGTTTTCATCCAACACAATTCAGTCCCTGTATTCTAAACGAAGGTTATTTGTCAAATATATCAACAATACTTCTTTATGATATTATAATAATAATAATACAGCTAACTTATAGGTTTAAATGCCCCACGTATGGTCACCAAGTTCGATATTTAAATCCCCGGTATCTATAATCTATAACGGATATAGCCCGCTATCTATCTATCACTTCCTATTAACGTTGTTGACTGATATTTATATTGAAAATTCAAAAGATTTACACTGAACTCAGGAATATATAATTGACTACGGCAGAATCTCGAATAACACTTCGAAAGTCTTAGAATTCTATGTCATTTAATAAATAATTTAAAATGCTTTAATTTTTTGTTATTTTCTTTTTCGAATTAAGGTTGGGGAGATATGCTAATCAATGAAAAAATCATAAATGTTTGTGTTCCGGAGAAATTTGTATGAAGTGATTAAATTGCCTATTTCATTTAATTTAAAAATAAACAATTAAAATTATTTTTTTTTCAGAGTAAATACGTGATTAAATGCTGAAATGTCTTAAACAACATCATATACCAGATTGACCCCACGAACATCTCGGCTCATTTTATTGACAAAAATATTTCTAATTCACATAATTTATTTTGTGAATAGTTTATATAGGTATGCATGTTTTTTTTTTGCTTAGTTTTAATTTTCTTATTTTTAGGTGATTTTCTTTTATTTATTGTATACACTTTTTGATTATTATTTATTGTTATTTTGCTTCTATTTATTTTATATTTTTTGTACATATAGGGTGAATGTTATCCTACCTCACTATAACTAATGTCTAAGTGACAGATTGATATAATACTCAATAAATAAATTTATTCTAAAAAACAAAACAAAAGAATAACATAATTTATTTAAAAGAACAGTTTAAGCTTTTCTTTTTTTATCCAAAATGACAAAAAAATTAAGTTTATAGTTTAATGTAGTATAGGTAGAATACAAAAATATGATTTAGACAACGCGTCCGTCTGGCGTCAGTTATTTATTTTTTTTTTTTTTTTTTTTTGTTCAAGACTGATGGACCGATTTATTAAATGCTTTACTGAAGTCAGAAATCAATTAATAAGAATAAGTAATAATCTTCAGAATATAACTATATAGATGTTACCATCCACCATCTCGTTTCAAAATGACGGCCAATTTATGGTTACATAAGGCTTTTCTCCTAGATTAGTCATACGTCACCACAAGATGATCTCGGAACACGAGAGTTTTGTTTTAACTTTTGTTTTTTTCGCATAGATATCAGTCATTCATGAAGATACAAGAAAAACATGAAGTGTTTAGCAATCGTTATACAAAAAGGTTGATAACAACTAATGATGATTCCGAAACAGTCATTTATTATTTTTTTAGTATTATCTATTTGGAAATAATAGATAATTGAGTAATATCTTTATTATTTATATTATCTCTTATATGATTCTCTATAAAAAAATTTAGTTTATATCAAGTTGAACTCTATACATGTGTATATTCGTTCTTATAGTCAGTTATTGA